GAGTAACAGAAGAAGCAACTGCTCTACCAGATGACCAGACATCAGTGTAGAGATACCAGAAGTATGAAAACCCAAGAAAATATGACAGCACTAAAAGAATACATTAATTCTCGAATACCAGACCCTATAGAGCAGGAAACCCTTGAAATCACTGAAAAGGAATTCCAAGGAACAATCTTAAGGAAACTCACTGAGATATGAGAAGACTGAGTTAAACAACATAATGAAATGAGGAAAATAAATCTGGGATATAAAGGAGGAAATTTACAAAGAGATTAATACCTTAAACAAGAATGTAGCAGAACTCATAGAACTAAAAGATTCACTCAGCAAAATAAAAAACACAACTGAGAGCTTAAGCAGCAGGCTAGATCAAGCAGACAAAAGAATTTCTGATCTTGAAGATAGCCTTTTCAAGATAACCCAGGCAGACAAAAAAAAAAAAGAAAAAAGAATGAAAGAAATGAAGAAAATCTAAGAGAGCTAGCAGACAACCTTAAGCACACAAACATTCAAATCATGGGTGTTCCAGAAGGGGAAGAGAAAGGAAAAGGCATGGAAAACCTACTCAATGAAATAATAACAGAACACTTCCCAGGTATAGGGAGAGACAAAGACATTCAGATACAGGAGGCTCAAAGATCCCCAAACAGGTTCAAGCCAAAAAGATCTTAAGACATATTGTAATCAAACCGGCAAAGCTCAGAAGAGAATCTTAAAAAAAGCAAGAGAAGAGCATCAAGTCACCTATGAGGGAGCCCCTATCAGACTAACAGCAGACTTCTCAACAGAAACTCTACAGGCCAGAAGAAACTGGGATGACATATTCAAAATAATAAAAGAAAAATATTGCCAGCCAAGAAAACTATACCCAGGCAAGGCTGTCTTTCAGAAATGAGGGAGAAAAGACAGAAATCTGAGGGAGAAACAGTGTACTTTCCAGACAAACAAAAACCACAGGAGTTCACCACCACACAACCAGCCCTGCAAAAAGTCTTCAAGGGAGTCCTGCATCTGGAGTCCAAAAAATGACACTCACTCATCTTACCAGCTATCGTTTTTTTCAAACTCTCTATTTTTTCATAACTCAGTCTTGGTAGGTGGTGTGTTTCTAGGAATTTATTCATTTCATCTAGATGATCTAATTTTTTTAACCAACAATTCATAGTATTCTCTTATAACTCTTTTGATTCCTGTAAATTTGGTCATAGTGATCCCTCTTTCATTTCTGATTTTAGTTATTTGAGTCTTCTCTCTTTTTTCTTGGTCCACTTAGGTAAAGGTTTGTCATTTTTGTGGATCTCATCAAAGTAACAACTTTTGGTTTCATTGATTTTCTGTATATTTTTATTTTCTATTTCTTTTTTCTATGCTCTAATTTTTACTCTTTACTTTCTTTGCTATGTCTGGGCTTAGTTTGCTGTTCATTTTCTAGATTCTTAAGGCGCAAAGGTGATTGCTGATTTGAGGTCTTTCTTTTTTATTAATGTACACATTTATGTTAAATAAATTTCCCTTTTAGCAAAAAAAACTCCAGAATTTGACCACCTGTCATCACCACCACACTCCCACTCTTACTATAAGCCTCTATTATGTTTTGCCAGAATTACTACAACAGTTTCTAACTCACCTCCCCACTTCTACTCTTGCTTCCCTACAGTCTGTTCTTAGTAATCAGACACAAGACAGTCATGTCACCCTTTGCTTGAAACCATCTGGCTTCCCATCTCACTTGAAATAAAAGCCAATGTGCTTGCAATAGTGTACAAAGTCTGACATGACCTGGCCCCACCCCTCTTTCTGATCTCCCCCCTAATGCTTTTCAGGATATGGAAAAGAGAGAGAATGGCTCCTGCCCTTTTCACAAAGAAAAACTTTGAATAGCAGCAACAAGGCAAAAAGAAGACTCTCTGTAATTCTTCTTCCCCCAACATTCTATTTTTAAGTTGCCATCATCAACAAAAACCAAAAGAAAACAATGAACTTGGACTCATTTTATCAGATGGTAAAGAGAGGCTAAGATCAAGTTTATCTTTAAAGAAACTGCAGAAATATTGATTTAATGAACAAATTTATGCATGAGTCTGTAAAGAAGACATTAAGGCTACTGAAAACAGTTATTCAAATTATTTAGGCATCTCCACTTAGAATAATTGATATACCACTTAGAAGTTATAACATTTAATAAAGCAACCAACCAAAGGAATGCAACTCAAACTTGACAGAAATGTTAAATGGAATCATTTATTAGCCAGATTTTGCCAACTTCTCACAAATGAATACAACTCCCACCACTGCATCCTGTCCCTAGCTTTTGCCCCTCTTACCAGAAAGGCCTACCTTGCCCCCAAAGTACCCCTCACTGTGTCAATGCTGATGATAAAACTGAGGATCCAATGTCCCATGAGATGACCTCTGACGTGTCCTTGTTGACCCCCCAAACACAATTTTTCCTTTCTCTTCCCACCTGCTTTGTAAAAATTTCTTTTGTTTTGTTTGTTTTTGGCAGCTGGCTGGTACAGGGATCCAAACACTTGACCTTGGTGTTATAACACCCTCTCTAACCAACTGGGCTAAGCAGCCAGCCCGTGCTTTGTAAAAATTCCATGCAATGTAAAAAACACCAAGATAGCACATATTCGGAAGTCACAAAGTCATATTTCTTTAAAAATTTAGCTGGGGTTTTAATTTAGTATTAATTCATACACTTCTCCATGATAATTCCAAAATAGAGACTACTGAGATTTCACCGTAATTCTTCCTGGTTAACTCCCTCATTTCCAAAGCTTAAACCTCCCGATTAACAGATTAATTATTAGTGAGTTGCAGAGGTACCAGGAAGCCCAGCCTGGGGCCTCCTCACACACCACACTTTCAAACGAACACCAGAAAAGTCTTCAGATATTCTAGTTGCTATTCACCCAGTGTTCCCCTGTTCCTTTCCGGAACTGTAACCTCTTTTTCTGAGTCGCTTCCTTTTCTGCTGTAAATTCAAACGCCTCCTGCTCCTCTCCAAATTCGTTCCTCTCTGCTCTAATAAACTGCCTCTTATATTTCTGTCTTTCTGCCCTGCTCTGAATTTACACCTTTTGTCTCAAGAACCCCTATGCTTCTAAAACATTCCTTTGTTCCTGGGGTAAGAAGCTCAGGCAATTTCTTCCTGAAAGTGGGTTTCATTCCCGATTTTCTGTATGAACAACGTTTCTTTAACTGCTTCATCCCCAAATTGTACACTGGCTCCATCAGACAATGAATTAGGATTCTGACCTTTCATGCTTGTGTTTCCTTATAGGACAAGCTCACTTACAAATACCAGATTCATTCATTCACTCACTCACTCAACCAACCAATAAACAAAAGGCATCACAGCAGGTAAAAAGGTGTTTTCTGTCTTTAAGGAGCTTATAATCCAGATAAAAATATCAAATCAAAGGCAGTATGAAAGGATCATATGAGCATACATTATACAGTATATAAATATTTATAAAACAGAGTTGTGCTTGTCCACTCCAGACAGAAAGTGATTATTAATAAAAGTACAAGTGCAATCAACAATGTGCACTTCAGTGTCTCTACAGCTCAAGCTGATTAGCTCCCATGACCTGTATATTCTACATTAACAAAAGTCCTTTGAGTTTATTTTAGTATGGCAAATAAAGCAAAACTTGTCCAACTGTTTTAGACTCTATTGTCCTAAACATGGAAATTAAAGAATGGTTCTGATTTCATTCTCTAAACATCTGCTCTGCAAAGAAAGTTTTCTACAGAGTCAAGTTATTTAGAAAATAAACTTCTCTTTTCATTCAGCTCAAGCAGTCTTCAAAACATTCCAAGTTTTCTACAGAATCAAGTTATTTAGAAAATAAACTTCTCTTTTCATTCAGCTCAAGCAGTCTTCAAAACATTCCTGGGAAGATTCATTTCACCTTTCAATGCTATTTTTACATGAACTTCCTGAAGTATCCTTGTACAGGGTACATTCTAGTACATCAGTTTCTCTTCCAAGTCACCCACAACTGCCCTGCCTTCCATTTACTGCCTCGACTGAATATGCTTCTCACCTGCCCAAATCAAAAGATGATGCTTAAATATGAAGAACTTAAAAACAGGATCTGGAAACACAGCAGCCATAAGAGACCTGCCTATCATCACAGTGTAAATATTGGGGAGAAGGTTAAAATTGAAGTTGAGGAACTGTGTATTTCAAAGTGCGTTGGTTCATTAAACAGTCATTTTTTTATTTTAAAGCCATTACATCAGAGTTATTTGCTTTGCTACTGCATAAACTCTGAGATCTATTGTATTCGAAAATGTTTTATTATGTTATTTTATTTTTCCCCCAAAAGATGAATACACCTTCAATTTTAAAATGAAAATCTTTGGGAGATAAGTATTCAATATATAGAAATTCATTTCACAAAAAATACCAGGACTTAAACCACATTTAAAGTGCCCCTGTACTTCATATCGATCCTCTAGAAAACACATTTTTAGCTTCAGAGTGGGAGTCTCATCTTACTGTTGCCATTCTAGGTATCCAGAAAGGAAAAAACATGGTATTGAGAATCAAGCAAAGCAAATCATTCCATAACTAAATACTTCAAAGGATACTAAGTTTCACACGGCAATAAACCTTCCAGCAGCTCTTAACAGGTAATCGTTAGAGAGGCTAGTGGCCCACCGTTGGATACGCACCCTCTCTCCATCCCAAATCCAGTCTGCATAACCAGACACCTACCACTCGCTTTGGCTTCCGAGTAAGAGGGGCCGTCCTCAAAAGTGAAGATCTGGGACATGCTCTGGCCCAGGTAGGAGGGAGGCGGGTAGTAAGAATGCATCCTGTACTGGGAACTCACTGCGTGGCGGTTCTCCGAGTTTTTCATCTGCTTAAGAAAAAAGAAGGAATACAATGAGGCCAAAGTTGCACTCCACAATGATTACAAAAACTGCCTAATTTTTTCAATTAAGGGAACAGCCAAATAAAGTTGGAAGTATCCTCCACCACCAATATGCTCTCTAGTGCACTGGCCCTAGCCATACTAGAACTATGCATCCTGAAGGTACCTTTTCAACCTTGCAGTGCCCTCTTAAGACCCCCTAAACTCCCCTCTGGTCATATAATGCTTGACTAACAAATACTAAAGAGCACAGGGCTGGAGAGAGCCAACACAATCCGCTGTGACACTGACTAGCTTGTTTGACCTCATCACGTTTCCTCATGTGTAAAACTGGCATCTTAAACCTTTGGTTACCTTTCAGTGTTCACATAAGAATATCTAGAAATGACGACAAAACGACAGCACGCAAGCCATGGGTAGGAGTGAGCTGTGTTCCTGAGTGTGATGCCATGCTGGAGCCTGTCACTCAGCGTCCATTCCCACCTCCTTCTAAGCTTTTCCCTGCAGCAAGGGATGGAAGTCTGGGATCTGGAGGTGATTTTGATTCCGCTCATTGGACACACGGAGTGAGATGGGAAGGCAGCAGGGGGTACAAACTGTCCCTCCCGCAGCAGTGGCAGCTGACAGGAGGGCTCATTCGTTTTCCTGGCAACCAGACCCTGCCTTTGGGACCATGCAGCTTTTACGTAAATAGCAGTGAGTTCCCTGGAGCTTCCTGACCTCTCCTCCAAAGCTAAGGACACGTGAGGCCACAGCTTAGAAGAGCCCCCACTTCCGTTTTCATGGCTCTTCTGATAAGTGTAAGGCCCACTTTCATGGACATCTAGAATTGTTCTGTCTTCTGCATGGACCTTGGTAAACATACAGAACCTTCAACACAAGATCATGCTGGGGCTCAGAAAGTGACACCCCAAAGTGAAGGCCTCAGAAACAGCCTCAAAAGCAAAGTTTTCCTCTGTCCTTCTCCTGCCTGCCTGTCTTCCAGCCTTATTTTCCCCTGAGGCAAACCATAAAAATTAGAATCCCTCTTGCCCGAGGTGGGTCACAGAAACCAGAACCCCTTCCCCAAAGCCAGCCATGAAGACTAAAATTATACTCTAAAACAAAAACAAAGCAAATTGCAAAAAAGTAAAATAAAATAATACGCTAATCCCTCCTGCCCCCTTTCTGTCTTGGAACTGCCCCTACTTCTGTCAAGTCCCTGCCCCACCATGTCTGGTGGTAGCATTCCAGATAGGGTGCTGACCGATGTCGTGAAGGAACAGCTGCCACACAGAGAAGCCACAACGACGACTCTGGGCAGGCCTTGCTGGGTTTCCCCACTCATTAGCATTAGATCACACTTTTCCCGTCTAATCACATTGCCACACTGCTGTCCCTGCTTCACAGAACCTAAGCAAAAAAAGGAAAGTTTCTTTCTCCCTTATCTTTGGGTCTTTATTCTGAAGGCTCCCGTGTCACGTAAAACAATGATACAATAAAATTTGCTATGCCTTCTCTTCATATTAATCTGTTTATTAGTTGATTTTTCAGAGGGGTTGAAGGGTAAGTTTTCCCTTGGCCCCAACAATCATACATTCAAGCAAGAAAAGAGCTGCACCTCAATTACTTACATTGCCTTTAAAATATTTAATTTAGATGTCATTCGCTTTTAAATAAAAGTCAATCTAAGGGAATGTTCAAGATAAACCAGTTCTGTTCAGAGTTAAGTAATCATTTCAAAATCAAGTTTTTCAATCAAATGTTTAGAATGCTACTCCGTAAAGAAAATAGTCCTAACTTAACAGAGGCTGGCAGGATGACATTAGGCACTGGGCTTCCTCAAGGTTTTTAGCCATATTCACCTGAGTGTACTAAGAATTACGGCCTTGCCTGGTGGAAAGGCCCAAGGTCCTGATTCCCATATGATACTTCGAGAAGCTCAAAGTATTCATTACTGATCCTCCTACTGCTTCCCAGCTCAAATGTCTGCTCTTTGGGGTGAATTTTTTTCCTTGGAGAAGCAAAGACGACTCCACGACAGGTAATTTCTTCCTTCTGAGTGAGGTTTATCTGGGCAAGTCTCCCTTACCCTTTCTAGTTTGTTTTTCTGAAATATATAAGATGGGCTCTCTTCTAGATCAGTCACCCTATTTTCATTTTCTACCAGCTGGTATAAATCTTGACTAAATAAGAGACTGAGCAAGCTATCCTTGCAAAACAGCCTAAGGGGAAAAACTGGTTACCCTAATGAGACAGCCCATTAAGGAGCCATGAAATCATTTTCAAGGGAAGGGACAATCAATGGTAGCAGTTTACTACACAGGACCTAGTTATCAGTTACATCAGTGCCTTCCAGTGGTCTCTTAATGGGCATTCGAGTGTCCTGGGATCCTGTTAAAATGTAGATTTTGATGCAGTAAGTCCAGGTGGGGCCTGAGAGTCTGACAGCTCCCCAGAGATGCTGATTCTGCTGGCCCTCAAACCTCTTTTGTGACAAGAAGCCAGAATAAATGATCCTTTTTCTCATAGTTAGCACCTCTAGAAACTCAGGACCAAAGGAGGACCTTCTAAAAAACTCTTTTTACCAATTGTTTACAACCACCAAGTTTCCACCTGGACTGAAGGAGGGTGAAAATTATGTAAATTTTTCATTTTCATTACTTTTCTTTCTATATGTAAAATTCCCCAGAGCTAAAATAATTTTTTCAGGGGTCTGCTGCCATCTAGAATTGCTGCAGAGGTAATAACAAACTCCAACACCCTTTGAATTGAAGAGCCATTTCTGCCTCCGTAGACTTCCCTCAAGTCAATTATGCAGTCTGAGTAATGAACATTGAATCAGAACAAGGTGCCGACTTTTCAGTGCAGAATGCCGTAATATAAATAACAGAGCCTCCCGCTCTGGGTGCTGAGTTAGTCAGATCTCCTTCAGGTTTGACAATATCTGCAAGTCAGTTCTTCAAGGAAAATGCTTTTCAATTTTCCCTGAGTACAAGAAAACAGAGCATTTGAGCCTGCAGGCTCTGCAAAATGTTGGATCTTCTTCTTTTACTATGAAAGTTTATAAAAAGCTCCTTGTCGAAATGTTTGAAATATTTTCACTGTGAGTCTACAGCAGGGGCCAGCAAACTTTTTATTGTAAATGGCCAAACAGTAAACATTTTAGGCTCTGCAAACCATAGGGTAGGCAATTGGTAAATGAGTGAGCACGGCTGTGTTCCAATAAAACTTTATTCATAACAATATTCACTGGTTCTTAACCTTCATTCCCACTGGAATAACGGGAAGAGGACACCCAGCACTGGTGCCTGGGCTCTACCCCTGGAGAATCTGATTTAACTGATGTGGGATATGGCCTGGGCCCTGGGTCTTTTCAAAATTCCCCAGGTAATTCTAACATGACACTAAGACTGAGAGAACCACTGCTCTACTATTAATAACGTATCTTCCACACACCTGAGAAGTGCAAGAACCCAACATCCCCATATTAACTAATAAATGCAAAAGGTTAAGTCTGACAAATAGACTGGTCAGCTGCTGCCAACCCCAATGTGTGCATTATTTTAAAAGCAATTCAGCTAAATGATTGAGTTCTCTTTTTTTCTTCACTAAAGCTTCCTGGAAAATAAACACAAATTCGAATCCAGGAATATGCTTATTTTTCTCTTTGATTCCATTTCTATGCTTTTATAAAGCATCAAACAAGGATTATGTGGAAATAAGAACTGAGTTATTTGTATGCAAACATTCCATCTTCCCAATGAATTCCCAAGATCACTGAGCTATAAAAGACTTCCAGCAAAAGAAGAAAACGATACAAAGGGTCAGACTCCCACTGAGGTAACTAAAATGTGAACTTACTGAGGTCATCAATCACTTCAGCTACATCCAATTCAAAGAATAATCCACAAATAACCATCCACGTGACAACTTGCACATAAGGAAAAAGATAGTCGCATGTGTTTTTAAAACATGAAGTTAAAATTGAATTGTAATTCACCCAGAAAGCCCAGAAAAAGGTGCGGCAGAATGTAATTTAAAACTCAAAATCACTTCCTGCTCCCCTCTAACTTAAAAAAAGTAAAGAAATCACAATCCTGATACTTTTGGCTTAAACAAAATGGAAAAATACTAAAGCTTTTGAAACTTGCTGTTTTACTTAAAACCAATATTCTCAACTCGGGGGGGACAGTTTGGTCCTCCAAGAGACACACTGCAATGTGTGGGACACACTTTTCATGGTCACAACTTGGGGGGAGGGGCATGCTACTGGCAGCCAGCAGTAAAGGCCAAGGGTGCTGCAATAATGCACAGGACAGTGCCCCCCACAATGAACAATTTTCCGGCACAACGTCTCAATAGTGCCAAGGTTGAGAAACCTGCTTTAAAATAATCTAATACCCTATTGTGCTCAGCCCTTCTCTCCCAGCTAAAAGAAAACAGCAAAGTTCTACTGAGGGACAGAAGTTGCACACAAATTAGAGCAACTGTTCAGTTCTGCCAAAAAAATTATTATTTTCTTTTCAGCAATGTTGCCTTGTTTCTTCTCAAGATTCTATTTTTTATTCCTTTAAATTAAACAAATAAACAAACCGAGTAAAACCTGAACAGCCGGGATTCCAGTGAATTATGACTACTATTATTATTAGCATGTGGTAGCTGGCAAGAGAGAAGCATGTTTTATAATCTTATTACCCACCCCAGGTCTCTGAACCAGAGAATGACCTACAGATAAGAGCTGGGCTGGCAGAGCATGCACATGGTGTTAGCATTAACCCCAGAGGAAGGCTTAAGAGTTTGGGGTTTCATTAAATTGTTGAGAATATTCATCACAATGTAACTGAACCACAGGCTTCCTTTTATACACCTTAGCCACCCGACCTTAGAACATAAAAACCTAACTTCTTCTAAAAAAAAAAATTCCTAAATTTTGGTTGTCTATTAAAGCTTCAGATAGGAAGAGTGTCTAGTCTTACAGCTAACTGAACACTCCATCCAGGTGA